AAAGAAACTAACTATACACTCATGTCTGAAACATGACAAGAAAGAAACTAACTATACACTCATGTCTAAAACATGACAAAAAAGGAACTACCTATACATTCATGTCTGAAACATGACAAGAAAAGAATAAAACTGTTCAATCATGTCTGAAACATGACAAGAAAAGAAACTAACTATACATTCATGTCTAAAACATGACAAGAAAGAAACTATCTATACATTCATGTCTGAAACATGACAAGAAAAGAAACTAACTATACATTCATGTCTAAAACATGACAAGAAAGAAACTAACTATACATTCATGTCTAAAACATGACAAGAAAGAAACAAACTATACATTCATGTCTAAAACATGACAAGAAAGAAACTAACTTTACATTAATGTCTGAAACATGACAAGAAAAGAATAAAACTGTTCAATCATGTCTAAAACATGTCAAACAAGAGCCACCGCCGGGCGGGGGCAACGCTAGACTTTTTACTTTTTCTAAAAGCAAACATAGAAAGGCTTGAACATATCTTAACCTTTCCTTTTTATAAATTTAGTTGGTCTGTCTTGTCACATGAATAGAAACACGCAACTCTATGAATAGAAACACGCAATTCTATAAATAGAAACACACAATTCAATAAATAGATAGACGCAATTTCTATAAATAGTAACAAGCCATTCTATAAATAGTAACACACAATTCTATAAATAGTAACACTAGAAACACGCAATTCTATAAATAGTAACACGCAATTCTATAAATAGCACAATTTTATAAATAGCAACACGCAATTCTATAAGTAGTAACACGCAATTCTATAAATAGAAACACGCAATTCTAAAAATAGTAACACGCAATTCTAAAAATAGAAACACGCAATTCTATAAATAGAAACACGCAATTCTAAAAATAAAAACACGCAATTCTATAAATAGTAACACGCAATTCTATAAATAGAAACACACAATTCTAAAAATAGAAACATGCAATTCTATAAATAGAAACACGTAATTCTAAAAATAGTAACACGCAATTCTATATATAGTAACACGCAATTCTATATACAGTAACACGCAATTCTATAAACAGTTACACGCAATTCAATAAATAGTAACATGCAATTCTAAAAAAAATAACATAATAACATGCAATTCTAAAAATAGTAACACGCAATTCTATAAATAGAAACACGCAATTCTAAAATTAGTAACACGCAATTCTAAAAATAGTAACACGCAATTCTATAAATAGAAACACGCAATTCTAAAAATAGTAACACACAATTCTTTAAATAGAAACATGCAATTCTAAAAAAAGAAACATGCAATTCTATAAATAGAAACAATGACAGCAAATATTTCACAGGCTACGTTTCCTTCAACTGATAAACATGACAACAAATATTGCACAGCAAATGTTTCCTTCAAGTGATAAACATGACTGAAAATATTTCACAGACCATGTTTCCTTCAAGTGATAAACATGACTGCAAATATTTCACAGGCTACGTTTCCTTCAAGTGATAAACATGACAACTAATATTTCACTATGACATTTGGACCATGTTACAACTTCTTCTTTAATAGATGGTGAGATTATTGAAACAAAATAACTATGGTATCTCTTGTACAAAGTTTATCAATCGCCTACATTTCGAGGTTTTAAGACTAGTGTATTCCAGGTTGAATATTTATTCCATCTTCAGATAATACTTTGTTCCCTCTTTATCAAGTAGTTTGCTGTGACTTGTAGGCCCAACGTGGCCGGGTGTTGTAAAAAAATATGTATCGTTATTATGTATGTACATAACACAATGTCACTATAATAAAATTTACTTATCTTATCTTATTTTATGAATCACATACATGCCTCCAGATAAGCCAAAGTATTTCAATAAAAGCAAAAATCGGAAAAAAATTACTAAGATTTTAGAAAAGTAAAAAGATTTAAGAATCAAGTAATAATTTACATGCTATATGCGATAAATGACTGATATTTCAGAATTTATAACTATTCATACTGCATATTTTTACCTCTTTTTGGTAATTTATGTGGGTTGCAAGTGCAAGTTGGTTGTAAATTGCTTCCTTCTGGTTATCTCAAAATATTATACATTTAAATAAATTTTCAAAAATTCATGAAAATTAGAATGATTCTGGAGGCATTGCTGCTTTAATCTTCTTTTTTCTTATATTAAGTTATATTAACAAAAATTACAGGACAATACAAATTATTTTTTTGTTTGCGAATCTGTATAATAAAGGAGTAGAGTATTTATCACTAACTGTGAGTGTTACTTCATTCTGAAATTACTATGATAACGGTTTTCTTTAAAAAATATGATGTTTTAATACATTCTCTATTATTTAAATAGACAAAATTATACATATAATCAAGCCTTATATTTACAGACTTATTATGAAATCTAAAAGGGACATTATTCAATTAACTCTCATAACAACTGTTAGGAAAAGGAAGTGAGTTATTTCCCTTTCATTTCATTCAAAACCAAAAGAGGAAGTAAAAATAGCAAATTTCCACTTATTTTGTCAAACGGAAAAAAACAAGTTTTAATTGATTATTTCCATGAAATACTTATAAATCAAGTAAGTTTTAAGCTTTATTTCATGTACACAATTTCACATCTACTTGTATATAGAATGAATTATGTAAGAAACACAGATATATAGATATTCTATATACAATATTTATCTATATTTAGCTCCATGGTAAGAAAGTAGTTCAGGCAATACTTCAGACAGTGTTTTAATTTTTGTGTCTCCCTTTTATAAATCTCAAAAATGAAAATAACTGTTTAAATGAATTATGTATTTCAATTAATTAGTCATTAACATAATTATGTTTCACATTATAATGTTTATTTACAATATGTATGTAGTGTGGTGTCATATAATTCTAAATTTCCACATATCTGGTCAAATGAAAAGAAATATTTTCACTTCATAATTAATTTTCAAGAAATTTAAATAAAAAATTCAAAGTAATTTTAAACTTTTTTTTATATACACAATTTTTGTCATTTGTATTAAAGCCTCCAGAATCATGTTAATTTTCATGAAAATTTTGGAAATGAATTTAAATCGTAAAATATTTCGAGGTGAACAAATATAGCGATGTACATGTTGCAATCGGCATTTACAATCCAAGAAAATTACCAAAAAAGTGGTCAGCATATGCAAAAAATAACCCTACCTGCGTTAGTAACGCAGTAGAAGTATGGTGATAAAATACTGCAAAATCAGTCTTAAACCAAAAATAATGTGTAAAATATAAATATATACCTTTCTTAAAATTATAATACATTTTTCACAATTTTGAAATTCTTGAAATATTTTGGCTCATCTGGAGGCGTGCAGCTTTAAATGAATTATGTAAGAAAGTGTAACATGAATAATTAATTGAATTAATGTTAAATTTTAGTGTCTCTTTATATCGAAATTCTGAGAACAAATATTCAAATTTACATAATTGAGAAGAAAAAATACCACAACCAATTGTTCTGTTCTGTTCTAGGACATAAAGAATAAATAAGTAACATGTGATAAAATTAATTTGACTGCTGACTGAAAATATTTTCTCTTTTACTTATATATTACAGAATGTTTCAAGAACCTGACTACAGAGAAAACTTATCATTGATGTTATCAGAGGTTTTACATGACATTGGTGTCAATGAAAGAATGGTGATGAGAATAAGAAGAGGAGTCATACTGAGAGAGAATATGGGTAATATCATGAACAGGTTAACTGATAGAAATGTATCTGACTATTTACTAGGGAGTCAAAGTGAAGGTACAACTACTATAGGACTTCATTCAGACTTTGATATGCTAGGCTGTAGTCATGATTTCAATATAATACAAGACTGGTCAGAGTGGGAACATGACAAGGAAAACTTCCTCATGATACAGGATGAGAACACTACTCCCGGGTATTGTTTCTTACAACGACTCAGAAATGATGTACCTCTTCCTGCAACTGTCATTCCTGATGAACATTATATTACTGATAGAAGAGGAAGAATACTGTTTAAAAATACATTCATAAATCAATTTCTTCAGGGTGCTCGACAGCAGCATGGACCATCTATTGCTGAACAAGGACAAGCTGGAAATTGTGATAGAGACATGGTGTGGGCTGCTCCATGTAAATCATGGCCTCAATCAGCATCAGGTTGGTTAGATAGACAGGGTTTTGGCAGATGGCCAACACAAGAGATGAGAAGATATGCAGCCAGTACTGGGTGTTTTGTTGTTCCAACTGGAAGTAAGGTCAGTGAATATCCTGAATTGGAATGGAGAATATCTACATCATTGACAGAAAGATGTATTATGTTCAATCTAAATATAACACAAATAAGGTGCTATGTACTATTGAAAATGATTCTTAAGTCCTTCCTTAATCCTCAAGATGAAATCAACATATCAAGTTTCATGTGTAAAACAGTTCTATTACATTGTATAGAAAACACAGAGTCGCAAATATGGAAAGATAACAATTTATATACATGTTTAACATACTGTTTATTGGAATTACACAGTTGTGTACAGAATGACTGTTGTTCACATTACATTATAACAGAAAATAATTTGATGGCAGGACAATTCACAGCTGAGACAAAACATGAACTTTCAAAAAATATTTGTGATTTTATACAGAATGATAGACAACGGCTACTTAGTATTGATATTGATGATTTTGTTCATAGACTTCAAGTTAAACTGAACAGGGTACCACATGGAGTTTATTATTTTCATTCTTCTCTTGAAATATATGAAACTGTTATGACGTGGGCATATATAAGCATTGTAACTGAAATAAGTGTACAGCACCAGCTTTTTTTAAAACATTTACACAATAAAAACATTAGAACAATAAAACTATCTGTAGGTAAATTAATGGCCTTCAATGACAATGGTAATCGATTAGAACATGCTGCATTCAAGCTTCTAGCACCTTTTCTTTTCACCACATATGGATCTATCCTAGCATCATCCAGCATTGGTGAAAATAATCAAGTGCCATCCCAAGCATTGGTCTGGCTATCAGCTGGTTTAAACTCAGATATCTCATCTAGCAGACTTAAATTGGCTTCAGTGTTTTACAGTACAGGAGATATGGAGAAAGCTGAACTAATTCTGAGACACACAGAACAACAATATTATTCCAACCCTGTTTTACCAATCTGTAACTGCTGGTACAAGACTTCAACGGCAACAGCTGAATTCGAGAGGATATGTAATGAACAAAGTGAGAACTGTATCAAACATATTACAGCTTTTTGTGTCAGATTCATACAGGAAGAGATCAACTGTGTTCCTCATGAACTACAATATGAAATGTTCAGATCTACACAAGATGACATGATACACAGACATAGAACAAATGACTGTTGGATGGACTGGGCTGTAGTTGATTCTCTACCTCTCCTGTTCTTCCTACAATATAAGATCTACCGACATCTACAAAGACATCAAGATCAACAACAAGCACTTTGTAAACTTATAAGAATCATAGAAACAGATAAAAACCTCAAACATAGAGAAACAGCTCTCAACATTTTAGGACAATGTATGGAACAAGAAAACAGACCTCAAGTAGCATTAAAATGCTACATGCTTTCTCTTCAACAAAGGGCAAGGAACAATGTAGCAAACTTCCATATATGTAAGCTCCTTTCTGGCTTACTGGTTAACCAATAAAATTGGATCAAAAAAAAGGAAGTATGAAGACTTGAGTTTTCAATGATATGATTATCAAACTGATTCAAATGACAAAATAAATGCCTGCCATTATACTTTTTATCACATATTATTTTGAAACACAATTAAACATGTTAAATTGAAAGAAGATTCCAACTTCATTGACTAGGAGACTTTACATTTGAGAGTTTAGAGCATCTTGTGTAGAGGACCAGTATTGCTCGTGAAAATGTATTTTAAATTTTGGTTTATAAGGTGAAGTTTTTTCCAAGCATTTATTTGATACAGTAGTCAAAACAGTTTTTAGCTAGTCTTCTATTGTTGGCAATATTTATTAAAAGTCTTGTTTTATAAAATGTACCTTGTATATAAAGTATTGTTCTTATTTTATATTTTGTACCCTGTAAACATTTGTAAATAGCCATGATGTTATTTATTATTCTATGTTCCCTGTATATACAAGAGCCACCGCCGGGCGGGGCAACGCTCGACTTTTTACTTTTTCTAAACGCAAACATAGAAAGGTTTGAACATATCTTAACGTTTCCTTTTTATAAATTTAGTTGGTCTGTCTTGTCACATTAGTTTTGTTTATCTATTTTCTATATATATATGAATAGAAACACGCAATTCTATAAATAGAAACACGCAATTTCTAAAAATAGAAACATTACGCATTTTCTAAAAATAAAAACATTACGCAATTTCTAAAAATAGAAACATTACGCAATTTCTAAAAATAGAAACATTACGCAATTTCTAAAAATAGAAACATTACGCAATAAACATTACGCAATTTCTAAAAATAGAAACATCAATTTCTAAAAATAGAAACATCAATTTCTAAAAATAGAAACATTACGCAATTTCTAAAAATAGCAACATTACGCAATTTCTAAAAATAGAAACATTACGCAATTTCTAAAAATAGAAACATTACGCAATTACTAAAAATAGAAACATTACGCAATTTCTAAAAATAGAAACATTATGCAATTTCTAAAAATAAAAACATTACGCAATTTCCATAAATAGAAACATTACGCAATTTCCATCCAAAAATAGAAACATTACGCAATTTCCATAAATAGAAACATTATGCAATTTCCATAAATAGAAACATTACGCAATTTCCATAAATAGAAACATTACGCAATTTCCATAAATAGAAACATTACGCAATTTCTAAAAATAGAAACATTACGCAATTTCTAAAAATAGAAACATTACGCAATTTCTAAAAATAGAAACATCAATTTCTAACAAGAGCTGTCGGTAGGACAGCACGCTCGACTATTCTAATTGCTTGATAGTAAAAGAGCCTTGATACTGTTAAATTTTTTAAGTTCACAAAAGGGCTAATTTTTTTTTATAAATTCATGTTATAGGTCTTACAGAGAGTCTAATTATACAGTATTGGCTTGAATATTTGGAAGGTAATGTCACAAGGGTGCTTTATTGAGTATAATAATACTAATTACCTATGAATACATAAAATTGACAGAAAAGGTACAAAGGCTTGTTATTAAGATGTTTTATCAAGTAAATCACTGCTTTATTATTATGAATGCATAAAATTGTCCCAAAAAAGGCACAAACCCTTCAGTAGTTATGGAGATAACAGCTTACAAGCAAAACTTTACCATGAATTTTTTACGTTGAAAAAAGGAAGAAAAATCAGCCTAAATGCAAGATAGAATTATGGATCTTTGTCAGTGACCTACAATTCTGACCCTAAATGCATATGTGAAGTTTTAAATAAATATCTTTAATAGTTATTGAGATATGTAAAACTTGCATGTAAACATTAACCAAGAGACTAAGTAGAAAAGGGGATATGAATCAGCCTTAATGCAAGATAGAGTTATGAAACTTGGTCAGTGACAAAAAATTATGACCCTCAAATTATAACCCTAAGTACATGTGTAAAGTTTCAAGTAAATATCTTTGAAGACCTTTAACCTTTAACCAAAATCTCTAAGTTTCAAAGGGGCAAATAATTCTGCAAATATTGCAGACAGAGATATGCATTTTAGCAAAATGATGTACATTGTTACTATAAAAAAGTATTGTAAATTTCAAATGAATATCTCAAGCAATAATTGAGATATTTGACTTTACAAAAAAACTTTAACCAAAATTTCTAAGTTTCAAACGGGCATAATTCTGTCAATATTGTACGCAGAGTTATCCAACTTGTCAATCTGATGTACCTTGTTACTATAAATAAGTATTGTAAGTTTCAATTGAATATCTCAAGCAATAATTGAGATATTTGTCTTTACAAAAACTTTAACCAAAATTTCTAAGTTAAAAAGGGGCATAATTCTGTCAATATTGTAGGCAGAGTTATCCAACTTGTCAATCTGATGTACCTTATTACTATTAATAAGTATTGTAAGTTTCAATTGAATATCTCAAACAATAATTGAGATATTTGTCTTTATAAAAAACTTTAACCAAAATTTCTAAGTTAAAAAGGGGCATAATTCTGGCAATATTGTAGATAGAGTTATCCAACTTGTCAATCTGATGTACCTTGTTACTATAAATAAGTATTGTAAGTTTCAATTGAATATCTCAAGCAATAATTGAGATATTTGACTTTACAGAAAACTGTAACCAACGCAGACGCCGACGCGGACGCTGACGCCGATGCCGACGCGACTACAATAGCTCTCATATTCTTCGAATAGTCGAGCTAAAAATAGAAACATTACGCAATTTCTAAAAATAGCAACATTACGCAATTTCTAAAAATAAAACATTACGCAATTTCTAAAAATAGAAACATCAATTTCTAAAAAAAATAGAAACATTACGCAATTTCTAAAAATAGAAACATTACGCAATTTCTAAAAATAGAAACATTACGCAATTTCTTAAAATAAAAACATTACACAATTTCTAAAAATAGAAACATTACGCAATTTCTAAAAATAGAAACATTACGCAATTTCCATAAATAGAAACATTACGCAATTTCCATAAATAGAAACATTACGCAATTTCCATAAATAGAAACATTACACAATTTCTATAAATAGAAACATTACGCAATTCTATAAATAGAAACATTACGCAATTCTATAAATAGAAACACTGTTGTTGTTGTTGTTGATGATGATGATGATGATGATGATGAATATGATGATAGATCTGTTCTGTTATAATATGAAGTTGATCCCTTCAATAATAGCAAAGTTACAGTCAGTTACCGCCAAAACAATGAAAATTTCAATAATTTGACCTTCAAAGACAATGTCATTAATGAGTGAAGGTCAAGGTCTTTCGGTATATTTTTAACAGTTATCTTTGAAGATTATTATGTTCAAGTTTCAAGACAATCCATTCAAAAATAACAAAGTTACAGCCAATAATAGCCAAAAAAATGAATATTTCAATAATTTGACCTTCAAAGTCAAGGTCATTTATGAGTGGGAAGTCATCTATGAGTGAAGGTCAAGGTCTGTCTAGTTATTTTTAAGGGATATCCCTGAAGATAATTATGTTCAAGCTTGAAGACAATCCATTCAAAAATAACAAAGTTACAGCCAATAATAGCCAAAAAAATGAAAATTTCAATAATTTGACCTTCAAAGTCAAGGTCATTTATGAGTGAAGGTCAAGGTCTGGCTGGTTATTTTTAAGGGATATCCTTGAAGATTGTTATGTTCAAGTTTGAAGACAATCCATTCAAAAATAACAAAGTTACAGCCAATAACAGCATGAACAAGCAAAAATTGGACTTTTAACCTTGAAGGTCAAGGTCATTTATGGATGAAGGTCAAGGTTAGTGTGGTCTACTGAAAGATATTGTCCCAAGGGTTGTTGTGGCCAAGTATGAAGACAATACACCAAGAAATAAAAAAGTTATGATACAGGTACAAGTTTGCGGACGGGAACGGGAACGGCAACGCCGACCCGACTATAACAATACCTCTACTTTTTTTTTCAAAAAAAAAAAAGTCGAGCTAAAAACAAACTATACACTCATGTCTAAAACATGTCAAAAAACAAACTATACATTCATGTCTAAAACATGACAAGAAAGAAACTAACTATACATTCATGTCTGAAACATGACAAGAAAAGAATAAAACTGTTCAATCATGTTTAAAACATGTCAAAAAACAAACTATACATTCATGTCTAAAACATGACAAGAAAGAAACTAACTATACATTCATGTCTGAAACATGACAAGAAAAGAATAAAACTGTTCAATCATGTCTAAAACATGTCAAACAAGAGCTGTCCGTAAGACAGCGCGCTCGACTTTTTTATTGCTTGCCAATAAAAAAAGTTTTTGCAGTAAAAGGCAATACAAGAATCTCTGTATTTTTAAAGTGAACTAGTTGTTTGATACCCTTGAATATTACAGCAATGTTTATATGACATAATTTATGGTAAAGTGAACAAGTGGATAGGAATGAATTTTTTTAGATTTTTTAAGTTTTTTAGTGCTTGCCTATAATACAAAACATTGACAGTTAAGGGCCATAATTCAAATAAAATCTTTGACAGAATTACCTTCTCCTGGACATGTTTGGGAATCATGATTGTAAAACAAGTATTCCAACTTTCAAATTAATATCTCAAACAGTTCAGTCAAAAAGTGGACTGGTACTAAAAACTTAACCAAGATTCTAAGTCGATAAAAGGCCTTAATTTTTAAAACAAATCCTTGACAGAGTTACCTTCTCTTGCGTACAGATGGGGTAATGATGTGAAATAGCATTAAAAGTTTCAAAGCAATATCTCAAAGGGTTAAGGCAATAAGTGGATTTTACCCATATTCAATGTATTTTCTAAGTCAAAAAGGGGCATAATTCTGTCAAAAACCTTGACAGAGTTATGTCCTCTTGTCTGTTGATGAAGGTCGTGATGGTAAACAAGTATGGTCAGTTTCAAAGCAATACCTCCAATGGTTTTGAAATAAAGTGAGGTGGTACAAAAATCTTAACCAAGCTCAATACACTTTCTAAGTCAAAAAAGGGCCATAATTCTGTCAAAAACCTTGACAGAGTTATGTACTCTTGTCTGTAGATGGAGGTTATGATGGTGAACAAGTATGGTAAGTTTCAAAGCCATACTTGTAATACTTCTGAAATAAAGTGGGGTGGTACGAAAAACTTAACCAAGGTGTGACGCCAACGCCGACGCCAACGCCGACGCCGACGCCGGGGCGAGTAGGATAGCTCCCCTTTTCATAGAAAAGTCGAGCTAAAAACAAACTATACATTCATGTCTAAAACATGACAAGAAAGAAACTAACTATACATTCATGTCTGAAACATGACAAGAAAAGAATAAAACTGTTCAATCATGTCTGAAACATGTCAAAAAACAAACTATACATTCATGTCTAAAACATGACAAGAAAGAAACTAACTATACATTCATGTCTGAAACATGACAAGAAAAGATTAAAACTGTTCAATCATGTCTAAAACATGTCAAAAAAACAAACTATACACTCATGTCTAAAACATGGCAAGAAAAGAATAAGACTATCAGACACAAAACTATTCACTTATATTTGAATCATGACTGTAAGAGTCTGTTCATTCAATCATGTTTAAAACATGTCAAGAAAGACTCAAAATATTTATTCATGTCTGAATTATAACAAAAAATTAACAGAACAATGCTTTAGACCTAGAAGGATGATATTGTAATTGACATAAGTACATGCATTTACATTTTGTCTTATAAAAATTTTAAATACTATTGCTTACTTTTTTTTCTTCTTTTTGACCCATTTTTCCTGTGCATATCCTGTTTTACTCTGGAAGGTGGCGCTGTTTTCTATCAGTTGTTCTATAAGATGCTATTAAAAAGAAAAGATTTGAAAAAGATTATTTTAAACTTAAAATCAATGACAACATCTTAATTTCATTGTATATTATTTTGCAGACAATATGATACATATAAAATGTTCCTTTTTGGTAGTTAGCTTCAGTTTGTTCAGTTACTGGCTATTATCATTAATTTCCTAAAACTAAAAATCTCAACAAAAGTTAAACACGAGGTATTTTAACAATTCAAATAAAGCTCCACAATAACTCTCATAAAGCTCATCCATAACTCCCACAAAGCTCCCCTTACTTTAACTGTTGAAAGAAAGTGAAACTGACACATATTTTTTAGTGGATGATGCTGGTTAATTGAAAATGTTAGAGGTCATTGCAGCATTAATGTAACTCAATGAACAATAAGGACAAATAATGATGCTGTGTCAATGTTAAAATAAGTATTAAGAAGACATGATAAAAACAATATGCCCGTACATCCCCAGATACTCCTTCTTTCTTCATCTGTTCTATTTCCTCTTGTGTCAATTTCTGGTTACTGTCCTTATCTTGCAAATGTCTGTTGTCTTTTCCTGTAAAAATATCAAACAGACTTGTTGGGGGTTGAGTTGCACCAACAGTGTTGCACCAACAGAGAACACAGTAATTGTCCCATTGTGACTTTCAAGCTTTATTCGTGGAGGAAACCCTTAGGACCCCCCTCCATGTTTTATTTCAGGCACAAACTGGCTCCTAAGTAGAACCACCAACATAAGGGTTTGAGTAAGTTAGCTGGATAGCTTCCTCACATGAAAGTATTCAAAATCCCTGGCCAGATTCAAAGGGCAAGTGGTTTGAAGTCAATTACCCTAACCACTTGGCCACGGACATCCCAAGCTTTATAATAAAACAAGAGGGCCATGATGGCCCTGAGGTCGCTCACCTGTATATAGGCCCCCGGGGCGGGGCCAGTTTAAACCCCAGGGCTTTTATTTGGAAACAAACTTGGAACACACCCATTAGAAGATGTTTCATGAAGTTAAGGTTTTACTACACACATATTATGAAAAACAATGACCTATGCACCCCCCCCCCACCGGCAGGGCCAATTTAAACCCAAGGGCTTTTATTTGAACAAACTTGGTAGACACCCACAAGAAGATGTTTCATGTTAAACATCTTACCTCTAGCTGGCATTGGGTTTTTTAAAAGAAGATTTTTTAAGTTTTTACTATATACATATAATTAAAAACAATGACACCTCTGGGGCGGGGCCAGTTTTGACCCCAGGGCTTTTATTTGAACAAACTTTGTAGACACTTACTAGAAGATGTTTCATGCTTAATATCTAAATTCTAGCTATTTGGGTTTTTTCAAAGAAGATTTTTAAGTTTTTGCCATACACATATAAGGAAAATCAATGACCCTCAGGGCGGGGCCAATTTTGACCCCAGGGCTTTTATTTGAACAAACTTTGTAGACACTCACTAGAAGATGTTTCATGCTTAATATCTAAACTCTAGCTATTTGGGTTTTTTCAAAGAAGATTTTTTTAAGTTTTTGCTATACACATATAAGGAAAATCAATGACCCCAGGGGCGGGGCCAATTTTGACCCCAGGGCTTTTATTTAAACAAACTTTGTAGACACCCATTAGAACATGTTTCATGCTAAATATCTTAGCTCTAGCTCTTTGGGTTCTTTAAAAGAAGATTTTTAAGTTTTTACTATATGCATATAGGGAAAATCAATGATCCCCTGGGGCGGGGCCAATTTTGACCCTAGGGCTTTTATTTGAACAAACTTGGTAGACACTCATTAGAAGATGTTTCATGCTAAATATCTTAGCTCTAGCTCTCTGGGTTCTTTAAAAGAAGATTTTTTAAGTTTTTACTATAAGCATTTAGGGAAAATCAATGACCCCCTGGGACGGGGCCAATTTTGACCCCAGGGCTTTTATTTGAACGAACTTGATAGACACTCACTAGAAGATGTTTCATGCCAAATATCTAAGCTCTAGCTCTTTGGGTTTTTTAAAAGAAGATATTTAAAGTTTTTTCTTTCGGTTGCCATGGTAACCAGAGTTCTGCATGGAATTAAATTCTTTGAACAATTTTTAAAGGTGACCACCAAAGGAACATTCCTATTAGGTTTGGATGAAATTGGCTTAGTGGTTTATGAGGAGATGTCATTTAAAGTAAAAGTTTACAGAAGGACGGATGGACGGATGGATGCCGGACGGACGCCGGACGAAAAGCGATCACAAAAGCTCACCCTGTCACTGTGTGACAGGTGAGCTTACAAGTTCTTTCATCTGATATAAATCACTTTCAATTCTGTTTCTTGGAACTCGTTAACCAGTACTGGTGCCCATGTGAAGAAGCATGGTCATGACCAGACCTGAGTAGGGTTCAAACCTGCCACCCCTATGTTGAATGTGAGAGGCAGACAGTATGACCCAAAACAAACACTCCTGTCAAAGAGCTAACCGGCTGCATGCACAGTTTCTTTTGGTTGGGTTTAACGTCTCACTTACACAGACTGTCAGTGTTGGTCATATGTTGACTTTCCAGCTTTACTGGTGGTGGAAGACCTCAGTTGCCTCTCTGTACATTATTTCAGGCACATAATTATTAAATGTGAATTTATTTTTTTTTCATCATAACTATATTTTTATATTTTCAAGTTTCAGAGATTTCTCAATCAAGTTATTTTGATAATTCATTCATACTAGTATCATATTATACATTTTCCCCACAAGATGTGAAGATATATATTCCCTCTTATTATACCTTCCTCTGAAGTATCAGTATCTTGCTGAACAGTTCGCTCCATTTTCACCATCTCACCATCCTTCACTTCAAACAATGAACCATATGGAAAACCAATTATTCCATCCAGTTTAAACTTACTCTTTTCCAACCATACATCTCTAAAAAGAATTACACACATATTTTTTTAAAAAGAACTTCACAAAAATTAAAAAATATCATTTAACTGTATATTTCAGTTATTAATTTAGCTTATGAACCAATCACATTGATTCCCATAGAACAGCAGGGTCTTTTGGATAGGCTTTTGGATAATTTGCGATATTTTGGCCAGAAAAATGTGCAGCCTGACGAATCCAGGTCCCTCAGAATAATGCTCTGACAGTTCTTTGAGAACTATTGGCTGAATTACCTGCAGCTTTGTCTATCTTTAGGTTGGCAAGGAGTTTCAGCACCCTGTTCTTGCTGACAGATACATCATCCGTTTGGGGGTATTTACAATATCTTGGTGAGGTTGGGGAGGAGGGGTGGTCTTACAAGGTATATGTTTAGTTTTTGTAGGCAAGATTGTTTTTGAGACATTTGAGAAGCAATGGAAAATACTGACTGGAACTGTCTGATGATAAAATCTCTAACTTTATTAGACGTGACTGGTTTGACCCATTTTAAAGATTCTTTTATACTTTCGAATTCATACATCATAAGAAAGACATCAGCCGGGGGTTCAGCGTTCTATGATATCACGGTACTTAACGTTTATCGTAAAATATTCAAATATAAATATCTTACATGAATGAGTTTTTCTTCTATTTAATAAGTGATCCTTATCCAAGACTGTCTGTCAAAAATTTATTTCTGAAGATCAAATTTAAACGTCATTTTTAAACTATTCTCAATGTCTGCCATTTTGGGTAATTTCAGAGGACGTTACTATGGTATCACGGTAATCCCCCAAAATGCAAGTATGGAAGGATAGATGGTTCAAAATCTTCAAGATAAGTTGTGGAAAACTTCCAACAGTTAACTTGATATAAAATTCAAACCATATGAACTGACAATATGTCAGTATATATGATTATAACATATTTTAATTGACTGTGTAAAAACAATGAATGGAAATCAGCGATTTTTTTCCCCTGTATTGTGAATGGGTACTGTACCATAAAAATTGTGAAAAAAGCGTCGTTTCTTAACAAATAGTGAATTTTTTAATTAAGTTTGTGAATATCTTATTCAGCAGTAAGAACATATAATATATTTAATGTAGTAATTACTGTTACGAGCCATTTTGAATGATGTTTACAGAAATTACCAGACGCTTGTTTCGGTATTGATTCATCCCTAGAAGTTTCGTATTTAAACAGTACAAAAATTTAAAGGGCGAATGCACCGCACATCATGGTCGGCTAAACGCATTTTAAGATAAACAAAGCACAACAGGCAAAATTTAAGCATCATTATACGAAGAGAGGAAATAATACGTTATTTAAGGCTTAATTAATGGGAATTATGAAATTTCATCAGAATTGTGAACGGGTCCGTCGGACGCAGTCTGAAAATTGTGAAGGTCCGTTTGTGATTGTGAATGGGTCCATTATTCGGTACCACTTATAAAGGGTAAAAATCGCTGGAAATAGTTGTCAATATGAAGATTTTATAAAATAGTTTTCTTTTGATGAATACATTTATTATTCACAAAATTAAATTCATTGGCAGATGAAAATGAATTTAGTGTGCCAGTTTTACAAATATTTATTATCATCGTGTGTTGGTTTTACTAGCAGCCACAGAAAATCTAAATACCGTGATATCATAGAACCCGTGATATCATAGGAACAGAGTACAACTGTCAAAAATTATCTCGAAAAAATAATCTAAAATTAGTTGAACTATTTTACTTTTAACGAAAATGAAAACGCAAAAAAGGGTAAGTTTAACAAAGCTACCCAGAATTACAATCAATTGCTTAATATAGCATAGCACACTGGGTTATTTTTTTTTATTTAACTTTAATATTAATAGTAATACTGGGTACGAAAAGAAATGAGCACGAATAAACTTATCAGATAAATTTACCTATTTCTATGAACTTGGAATAACCTCAAGTTATCCCCTTTCCTTAAAATAATATGATCATCTTCTTTCACAACAGCTGGACTACTCATCTTTAATAGTTTTCAACTGCTGTGCCCAGAGAACGGTTAGCTTTTTTAGCGGAAGCACGTTTGATATTAAGCACAACACAGTCTGGTTCCAGTTTGTATATTTTACGTTTATCAGACGGTGACAAATTCGAGAACCAGCAAAATCGCGCCCTCTGTAAACAACAAAACACGTGCAGAATTTCGCTCCAACTGTCAAATGATGCAAAATGCGTTTTACAGCAAAATTTAAGAAGAAAACATGTAAGCAATTAACTGATGACAGAAAAGTATGTGTGGATCTCAAGAAAGATCATTACTTAAAGAATCTACAAAAAAAGTGTCCATTTAAAGATTGCAAATATGCAAAATATTTGCCAAAAGATACTGAGGACAAATGCGATTTGGTTGCGCTGTATAACCCTACAACTGACAGAAAGCGTGGTAGATTAAAACGTTTGCAGATAATAGCAATATTTATAGTTAAAAGTGCCAATGGCAGCACTTCGATATCAGACCTCGTTAACTTGAACAAGAGAGTTAACCGAGAAACGGAAAAATGTAAGACTGATACTTCTGACACCGAGGCGATGCAGATGCTTTGTATTTGTAGAGAATTTCAAATAGTGATTAAAAAGACTTTAAAAGATCCAGCGTTACAGAAGAAAAACAGAGAGCCTATCTCAAAAGGTATGAATTTTTATACATCCATTAAAAAGGTTGTTCATATTTCTGTGAAAGATTATCGCCAAGTGCCCTATATATTCGTCCCTGTACTAGAGTCAACACCCTGTGTATGTCAGAAAGTCTAACAAATGTCCGTTAAGAATGTTATGTCGGAAAATAGCTAACATAGTTAATTAGTGTTATTTTGTTTTATTGTATATAATATAGACTATAAATAAAGATTGTCAGATAATAATAATCTTATGATTCTTATCTTATCTTAAAGTTGGATAATTTTAACATAAAAAAATGTTATTGTAAAGTCTAAGTAAATTTAATGTATCTGTCAAATTTCTTCAACACTGAACGCTCGGATCATTAGAAAATATAGTGTATGCAACTAGCACTTTAAAATGCTTAGGAAAACGAATCATGGCCACCCGTGGATACAATCCGGAACCTTGACTTATGTCATAAATCATTTTATGTTCCACTTTGGCATGTGAAATTTGTTATATTTTTAATTGTGTCATTGTTTTCCTCTTTTCATCCGAGACACACAAAAATGACAGACAGATGTCACTCACTGTCACTGTACATAGAGACATATGGTAGAATCTAGTTTATGCTGAATATTTTTGTAGTTTTAAAAACAAGCATGTACAAATTTAAAGCGGGTGTGTGGAGGCAGCAGCACCCAATAAGCAAGTGTGCTAGTATCTTCTGGCCCCGTATTCACAAAGATTTAAGGATCAGAAATGTTAGTGAACACGGGGCCTGGGGCCCGCTTAATTACATGTTGATGAATTCCCAGACATACATGTACATGTACATGTAACTCTCAGTAAGTTGTTTTACAGTCTAAGATACATCTGTCTGTTTTTGATGAGTAATAAAATGTTCTATATTTGGGTCATGAAATTTTCAAACACAATTTTCAATTCATTAAATTTATAATTGACAGAAACAATTATTTTTTACAGAGTACGATGATAATCAAAACAGCCTTAGAATTCTAGAAAAAGAAGTTAAGACACATACACAGAACAAATGTTCATCTAATAGAGAATGTAAAACACACCAAAGAAATGAATCTGATTCCATGAAGTTTTGCCATGGTAACTTTATGGACCTGGCCAGTCACAAAGAAGCGGGAGATTTCGGATCTGGAAAGGTCCAGGACCATGCAACATATACTAAAAATGCATTTGAACATCAGCGTGTAATATTTAACGATCAGACAATAAGGCTGAAAGAAAGACATATGCAAGTAAATGACCAAACCAAGAGAGGGAATTGTGTTTATATATCAGAGCAAGATGAGACGGATGAGTTAAAAGGAGCTGCGGCAAAGTTTAATAACTTTCCTGGTAGAAATTACGAAAAAGTGCACGAATTAGCAAGGATAAAACTTTATGATCAATTTAAAAAGGCAAATGTGTATGACAAGGAAGAAGTTCGGAAAGAAGTAAAATTGTGTCAGAATTCTAAGAAAATTGTTTTTGATCAAACCAACTGAAATTCACCATGAAGGGGTCTGCAATCGAAACTGAAAAACCACCACCAAAGGGCTGCAATGTCAACTGATAAGAGTAATCAAAATTCTACTGTAAAGAAGCTGCAGAACAGGTCGCGTATGTGAAAAAATGATAAATAAATTTTCATGTAAAGATTTTGGTAAAGTGTTGGAGATTAGAAATGATCGCAGATTTGGGTGAAGTTAATGAGAAACATTGTAAAAGCTATCTCCCAACTTTGTTAACATAGATTAAACAATGACATTTCCACCTTAAGTGTATGTGTATTCATTCAAGACAACTTAAATGAGAACAATTTGATGATCTGGTTAACATGAAGCTTGAATTCACGAATGAATGCTCTTAGTACATATTTTCTACCCTGGGAAAAAACATTGTGACTATTAATGTTTTCAAAAAGATTTGAAGAAGTTTCTACACAGGACAGTCTTTCAGAAATCATCGTCAGTTAAGAATTTATTTGCGAGAAAGACATTTAAGTAGTGATGCTTTAAACACAAAAGCTGTTATAATGGTGTCGCAGCCCATTTCAGCGTTTTTTGCTAAGACACAGAGACATTTGTCTGGCTTGATACATTACATGTTATTCTCGGGATCGATCGAGGCACGCTGATTGATACTGAAAGCATTAGGAAAAGCTGAAAAATATAACAGAATACGTTCTGGAAGACGCAAAAATGAGGATTTAAAAGTGCTCCGGAAAAGTTTATGGAAGAATATTCCAGTGGATTGCTGGAATCGTCAAGAGTACCATTTTATTGATGTTAAAAAAATACGGCGTGCTATATTTGATGCCAAAAGCTGGGAAAATGTTGTCTCTGTTTGTATATCTACATCAAGTACATTTACGATGTACTGCAGTATCTATTATGTAAAATTGTATGTAATTTAACTTAATTATTGTACTTATGTCCTTAATAATTTAAATGCACTTTATTTTCAAACAAAGTTTCCAATATAAGTCATTTACCCAAGATTACTGAATGATGGACAAGCTAGTGTATTTGTACGAATTCCTTAAAAAAAGACATAAAATTGAGATAATTTATGTGAGTAATCTGGATGCGGTTCATAAACCAGGCTTCTTTACTATTAGCTTGCCTTAATTTTTTGTATTTTGATATTTGAAATTCCTTTGAGTTTTTCGAATGGATTATTCCAAATTTAAAATAGGGTATTTTTTACACAAAATTCAGTAAGATCAGGGTTAGATCGCCCCGAGTGAAATTTTGATTTTTTTTGCTGAAGTATTCCAAGAGCATGTTTCAGTTTTAGTCTTAAAATTGCATTTCTACATATGGTGTCTGATTTGTGCCATTCGTGTTTTATTCATCCGACGACCCCGCCAAGCGAAAGTCGGAAATTAACAAGTTAAAACGGCGGGACGCGGAGCGAAAACACGCTAATTAGCAAGGGCGCGGGGCCCAAAGTTAAATAAATAAAAGAAATAAAACCGCGGGGTCCCGTCATTATAACTTGTTAATTATCGATTTTTCGCTTGGCGGGGTCGTGGGACGAAACACGCTAATTAGCGGGGGCGCGCAGCGAATTTTTAATTATTAAATTTTTCGTCCCGCTCCCCGCCCTAATTAGCGCGTTTGGTTATTTTTCGCTCCCGCTCCCCGCTAATTAGCGCGTTTCGCTCTGCGCTTCCCCCACCGTTTTATTTTTTTAAATCTCGCTCTGCACCCCGCGGGCAACGTTTTATTCTTTTAACCTCGGCTCGTGCCCTCGCTGATAAGCGAGTTTTCGCTCCACGCCCACGCCATTTTAACTTGTGCTTTTCTCGACTTTTAGCTTGGCGGGTCGCGGGGCGAAAAACACGCTAATAAGCGGGACAGCGGCGAAGTTTTATCTATTAAACTTTTTGTCCCGCGCCCCCGCTAATTAGCGACTTTTCGCTCCGCGCCCCGCCATCTTAACTACTTTATAATATATTTAAAGACGTTTGAAATATTTTTCATTCGAAATTTAACAGCATTTTAATTAAGTTTTATTTTATATATATGAATTTCGTGAAGTTGAAATCGTTGAAGTTGAAATCGTGAACATCATATGAAGTTTAAAATCGTTGAAGTTGAAATCTTAAATTCATGAAGTTGAAATCGTGAATTGCTAAAGTTGAAATCGTGAATTCATGAATATGAAATCGGGAATTCATAAAGTTGAAATGTCCCTGTCAGTCTTTTGGTATTTTGTATGCTTTCTTTCTTTTTTCACTGAAAAACATTGACTTAAATTTACCGTGACTTTGATTTACTTTAGTTTTCAATTTAAGACGATAACAATATATTATATATATTCGGAAGATCATATTTAATCGGTGCTGATGTAGGCGATGTATCAAGCTTCCATGTGATATGTCAATCTGTCAACTTTAATCTTTATGCAAAATAAAAAAGACCATTATTTTTTTAAAATCTAACAATGAATGCAACAGCCACTATTGGTTAAAACTGTCCCACCAAGGGTTGGACACGTCGCCGTGGCAGAGAATAACTTGATTGATTGTTTGGTCGGAGGGTACAAGGTAAGGACAAGTTCCCTTTAATTAGTTTAACAGTTTAATATCTGTTTTTAACTTGCTAAAAAATGGTAATAAATTTGGTAATCAATTAACAGTTATTAATTTTTAGGTCACTGTACAGAACAGTTGACTAATGAAGGAGATGTGTAAGCACCCTTGACAGCTCACGAGGTGAACAGTATATCCCCTGAACTGCACATTTTTCTCGCCCCAATCATTTGACCTATTGTCTTTGGTGCCTTACTTGAGACTTTGGCTGTATAAGGCTCCATTATAAAAGGAAAGTGGCTAGCGCGTACTGGCCCGTTTACGGCTAGCCAAAAGTTCTAGCCGTACATGAGTCACGTACACACTAGCCAGGACATACTGTATTGGCTAGCCGTACGGCACTTTTCAAAATTATATGGAAGTTCGAAAATGCATATTGTTATTATGTGTCTTTAACGAGGATTTTAATCAAGTCTCCGCTTTTTGTCCTAGTGTGTTCACTTTAATAAAGATGCTCCGCCATTTTGTAAAAAAAATGAATACGAACAAGCGTTGTATAATCTATTTTTGATAAAAAGTGTCAAAGTTGTATATGTTATAAGTTATAACGTCGTTGATTTTTCATGCTTATGATTTGTTGTTTTTTTATTTGTATTGAAAGATGAATTGTTAAATCATTTTTGTTAATTAAGCACATGGATCGAATAAATAATGATCGGAGGGGATAAATAATAAAAATAAATAAATAAGTAAATAAAAAGCATACTGAAAAAAACGGTGAAAAGCAAAAATAATTTAATAATTTTCAAATACAGTACTGTACAGATAATTTTAAATATCGAACATAAAAGCACAATCAATTAATAAGCCTTAATTAAGGCAAACTTTCCTTAATGATGGACAAACTTCTATACCGTCGGTAATTGACGCAATTATCAGAGCCCAACAACAATTAGTTTCGGCGTTTTTTTTATTATTATTTTTTTTTTATTTGAAAATTAAACTAAATGAAAACAAAAAAAAAATATCAAAGTTTGTAAACTATTTTTGATGTTATTTTACTGCAACAAACGCTATTTTTTTTCTCGACGTCTTGAGATGACAAAAATATATACTGTATTTCGTATACTTTCTTTATTAAGCCAGCAACAAGGTGATTAATCTCTAAAAAGTAAACATACGAAGACAATTGCTGTGTCTTGTACAAATCCTCACTTAAAGTCATAAAATAACATATGCATTTTCGACTTCCATATAATTTTGAAAAGTGCCGTACGGCTAGCCAATACAGTGTGTCCTGGCTAGTCGTACGTGACTCACGTACGGCTAGAACTTTTTGGCTAGCTGTACGGCCTGTACGGCTAGCCACATCCATTATAAAAGAAAATAATATGAAAGTAGCCAAAGCCTATTAATGGGGAATTCAGATAAGAAAAAAATCTATTCATTTTTTTAGCTTGACTATTCGAAGAATATGAGAGCTATTGTAGTCGCCCCGGTGTGTCAGCGTCAGCGTCCGCATCTGCGTTGGTTAAAGTTTTATGTAAAGTCAAATATCTTCAATTATTACTTGAGATATTTCAATTGAAACTTACAATACTTATTTATAGTAACAAGGTACATCAGATTGACAAGTTGGATAACTCTGCCTACAATATTTGACAGAATTATGCCCCTTTTTTTAACTTAGAAATTTTGGTTAAAGTTTTTTGTAAAGTCAAATATTCTCAATTATTGCTTTGAGATATTCAATTGAAACTTACAATACTTATTTTATAGTAACAAGCGGTACATTCAGATTGACAAGTTTGATATCTCTGCTTACAATATTGACAGAATTATGCCCCTTTTGAACTTAGAAATTTTGAGTTAAAGTTTTTTGTAAAGTCAAATATCTCAAATATTGCTTGAGATTATTCAATTTGAAACTTACAAATACTTATTTATAGTAACAAGGTTCATCAGGTGACAAGTTGGATAACTCTGCCTACAAATATTTGACAGAATTATGCCCCTTTTGGAACTTAGAAATTTTGGTTAAAGTTTTTTTTGTAAAGTCAAATATCTCAATTATTGCTTGAGATATTCAATTGAAATTTAAAATACTTTTTTATAGTAACAATGTACATCAGTTTGCAAAATTGCATAACTCTGCCTGCAATATTTGCAGAATTATTTGCCCCTTTGAAACTTAGAAATTTTGGTTTAAAGGTTAAGGTCTTCAAAGATATTTACTTGAAACTTTACACATGGACTTAGGGTGATAATTTGAGGGTCATAATTGTATGTCACTGACCAAGTTCCATAACTCTATCTTGCATTAAGGCTGATTCATATCCCCTTTTCTACTTAGTCTCTTGGTTATTTAATGTTTAACATGCAAGTTTTACATATCTCAATAACTGTTAAAGATATTTATTTTAAAACTTCACATATGCATTTAGGGTCATAATTGTAGGTCACTGACAAAGATCCATAATTCTATCTTGCATTTAGGCTGATTTTTTCTCCCCTTTTTTTTTCAACTTAGAAATTTTATGGTAAAGTTTTGTTTGTAAGCTGTTATCTCAATAACCACTGAAGGGTTTTGTGCCTTTTTTGGGACAGTTTATGCATTCATAATAATAAAGCAGTGATTTACTTGATTAAAACATCTTAATAACAAGCTTTTGTACCTTTTCTGTCAAATTTATGTATTCATAGGTAATTAGTATTATTATACTCAGTAAAACACCCTTGTGACATTACCTTCCGAATAGTCAAGCCAATACTGTATAATTAGACTCTCTCTAAGGCCTATAACATGAATTTTATAAAAAAAATTAGCCCTTTTGTGAACTTAAAAAATTTAACATTATCAAGGCTCTTTTACTATCAAGCACTTAGAATAGCTCGAGCGTGCTGTCCTACCGACAGCTCTTGTTATTTTACATTTTTCGTTTTTAAATGTGTCATTTGCATGATTTGGTGTTTCATGCTAGTTTGTCTGTCTGTCTGATTCACAGGGTTTCCGTTAATGGAAGTTTTGGAGTCATTTTATCCTTGATTTTCGCTTGTGACTTCTAATATCTATTACTTTTCCTTCTTTATTTATATAATGTTTGCCTGAAATAATGCACACACCTGAGGTCTTCCTCCACCAGTAAAGCTGGAACATCGCGATATGACCTATTACTGTGTCGATGTGGCGTAACCCCCCCCCCCCCCCCCCCCTCCAAAAAAAGAAAAAAAACCCTATATAATGTGACTTCCAGTATCAGAGATTTTGCAGTCTCTGACTTCCAAATTTTGAAACTCAATGGAAGCCCTACACAGGTGCAACACTTCTGTTTTCAATTGAAACACCTTGCAATCATTCACAGTTTTAGGATTCTTCACATCTGATTAAATGCAAAATGAACTTTGACAGGATAAATGATTAAATGAACTTGTAGATTAGAATTTATATACTACTTATATAGGGAAGTATTTCAGGTTTACGATTATTTAAGAACTAGTGTTTATTTCAGGATGATTATAATTCATATAGAGAAAAATATTTATCCGCAAAAACCATTATGGTGTACCATACAGACCTTGATGTTGGTTATTGGTAAGTAAAATAAAAACAATATTCAAATAGAAATTAAGTGCCACCAACTTTGGTACATGTAGTTCAAAAATGGACTTTACTTCTATTTTACACTTTTCACTCAAGATTAACTTATAACTTAAAATTATAAGAAAAGTTTTTGTGTACTTTTTTGTTTTGTTTTATTTTTAAACAGAAGAATTTAGGATCTAGTTACAAGGTAAAAAAAAAATGAAGTGATAAATAAATTGTTATAATATTGATGGTCAGTTCTTTTTACTTTTGTAATAGAACAATGGTTATTAATGGGGGACCCGGTCATGAAAAAATATATTATAAAGGCATTGACAATTAAATGTATTAAGAAATTGCAAGAACATTTTTTATGCCAAATTCTAAAAGCGTTTTTAAGAGTTATCATCCCTTTGCACAGAATTCTTGACAAATTATCAAAGTGTTTCCAAAAGTCAAGTTTATGTCTAGTTATACATGTATGTATACATATATTATACTTATTTCTTTATTCACCCGATACCTGCTTTGAAATGTCGAAAGATTGACTTTTTATTTGGTGCCAATGTAATAGTAGAGATTTGTGTCTGATATGTACAAATATAACCAGGTGTTGTTTTTTTGTGGTTTTTGTAGGACCCAACATGTAACCGAGGGTGACATTCCACCAGGAACCTCTGGTGCTTCAGCCTTACTAATTGCAAGTAAAATGTATATATTTGGAGGGCATACGGAGGAAGGCAACACAAATGAATTATACTGTTTAGACTTACAACAGCTGACATGGAAACGTATAATACCAGAAACAGAACTGCTACCAAGTCCTAGAGATAAATTTACAGCTTGGTCTTATAATAACAAGTAAATCTTTGTAGAAAAGTATTTTTGCAAAAGATATATTTTTGGGTTTATTTTCAAAGCTTAATACTAAACAGGTGTTTAAAGCATACATAAAAATTAACATTTATTTATTCTTATTGCATGGTTTGGAACTTTTCCTTTGTTCTTACTAACCCATTATACTCAGTACACTTCAATGAGCATTTGAAAACTGTATTGATGTAGAGCAGTACAGTTTTTTCATTGATTCTAATTTCATGTAGGAAAAAACTCGACTGCTATATAGTGGTTGAGTTTTTTTTCCGCACCTTGTATATATCAATACAGGTTTTTTCACAGAGCAATGGGGCAGTGGTAACGAACATTCCTAGTAGCAAAAAAAAAATGGAATCAATAAAATAAAATAAATAAATACAATGAAAAATATAAACAAAGATAATTAATGAAATGAAATTTTCTCTCATTTAATCAAAAGGTACATCCGCTGAATGAATTATTTCCAATGAAAAAAAAGCCCTTTAATCTTGAATCAATCTTGGTAACAGTTTACAATCCGCCTCTAACATTGGATGTCTTTCATATATCTTTTTTTTTTGCAGCAGCGAAAACAACTTAAGGTAGAACGCGACACTTTGCGAATTTTCGAGTAGCGTCTTGAAAATTGGCATGCAAAAAATTGACCATATTTCTGATTGGATTTCGTTGATTTTATTTCAATAGTTTCAGCCAATTTTTGTACACATTACGTCAAAGTTGACCATCAAAGCCCGTTTTTGAACATGACGTCGCTGCGTATCCTTGGCAACTGTTACGGGTATTTCAACGCCATTGGCGGACAAAATATCTTAAATCCTACAGCATTCGACGGAAATTATTTTTTGCTTTAAGCAGATATAAATTTTATTGTTTTACGCCGAAAATTGTTTGAGAAATGGAAAGAAAATTGTCAATTTTGTGTAAAATTTGACGTTCAGTTTAGCCGCAATTTTCGGCTTTAAATCGGCTTATTAAAAAATTCCTGAAATAAATGTTTGATTTTTTTTCTAAACGTCCTTTAAATGTATACTTAGTCAAAATAACTAAAAAAATAGGGGTCACCGACTCAATTTTTTCGGTACACGGTGATTTATTCCCCCCACCCCGTGAGTAATTTTGTTTTGAAATTCGACGTATGCAGATACGTTTGAGACTTCAAAAGTGCGGGCAATTATGTTCAGCTTATCAGGAGAATTGTTCTAGAGTTTTACTAATACATATAAAACAACAACAACAATGTTCCATTTCAAATTCTTAACATTGTACGAAAAAACAAACGATTTTTTTTTCTTGTTTTTAAGCGTGATTAATAACTTCATAAGGAATTGTAAACAGACGCATGTAAAGGGAAAATGACGTCAGGCGTTCAACGGCAAACGCGTACGCTGCGCAAACAAAAATAAATACAACTGAGGAGTAATCATTTGCGGTGTTCCTTTTTGATATTGTAATACAATAAGATAAATAAACTTGAATCGAGAAATATGCCTTATGGAACAAAAAGCAACTATATATTTTTATGTAAATTTAGAAATTTACGAAAATTCAATCATAAATTAATACGTATATAGTCTACAAGAAATTCTGCAAATCTATACATTTTGCATTACCCACACTATGAGTGATATACTGTGAGTGATATGTATTTTATTTCACCTATTAAAAACCAGAATTTGAATTTCACTTGTTAATCAAAAACTATTGCAACAATTTGACAGAATTGGTGAAATATTGACAAATTTAAAATATACGGTTCATAAATGAAACTTAGTCAATTATATTAGCGTGAAAGCAAACAGTCATGCTTGAAACGTTAGCTCAGTGGCGGTGTTGGATTACAGATGTAGCACTTCGATTCTACAAATATCTGTAATACATATTCTCTCGTTTTGCTTATCATTTTAGGATATCATAGTGTTAAAAATGGATGTATTAAAAACATTACTATCAAATCAGGCACTGTAGAGGATCTGTCGATGTTTCACTAACTATTTAATCAGTATGCGACTGACATGTTAATAAAACCGAGAAATATAACATTTTAATCAAAGTTTTATTGTTATTCTGACAAATGTCAGATCAGACTATTATTTCTTTCCTCTTGTAGAAAGTGGTAATTCTGAAAGTACAATCTTTATTCACTGTTTATATTAAAATCTGTATTTACAATAATAAAAAAACATATTTTGGTAATATCTGATCGAGTAATTAAAAAAAATACGTATTTTAGTAAATACGAACTTCATTCAAAGTTCCCGCATATTACAAGTGTACGGATCACGGTATATTAGTCATATACGTATTGCATGATATACGGTCCCGTACATCAAATTTTACTTATTTTTACCTGTGTATCTATAATATACGGAAATCCGCACCCTTTATTGTATCCATATATTTTCCGCAGTGGTCATAATAGCGTAAAATGTCGTAAAAAGCGGGATTTTGACACAGGGCGATCGTTTTAATAACATCAAAAAACCAAACGCCCCGTGATAGCGTGACTTTTATACAAAGGGGTGGGGGAAATAAAATCACTTGTACCGAAAAAATTGAGTCGGTGACCCCCTAATTTTTATGCCCCCACAATGTGGGTGCATATAGCGTTGCACTTGTCCGTCCGTCAGTCCGTCCGTCCGTACGTCCCGAAATCTTGTGAACGCAACTCCTCTTAAACCGGATGGCAGATTTTGCTTAAACTTACAGGGATGAACAACCTTAATATGTAGATGGTAGTAAAGGAAGGAATTTTGCTGTGACCAAAATTTAACAGAATTATGGCCCTTTGTTGATTTTTTTACTAGATACTATATAGAAATTTTGTGAACACAACTCCTCTTAAACGGATGACAGATTTTGCTTTAAACTTACAGGGTATGAACAACCTTAATGTGTAGATGGTAGTAAAGGAAGGAATTTTGCTGCGACCAAATTTAACAGAATTATGGCCCTTTGTTGATTTTTTCACTATATACTATGTAGAAATTTTGTGACCGCAACTCCTCTTAAACCGGATGGCAGATTTTGCTTAAACTTACAGGGATGAAACAACCTTAAGGTGTAGATGGTAGTAAAGGAAGGAATTTTTTTGATGCGACCAAATTTTACAGAATTATGGCCCTTTGTTGATTTTTTTTCACTATATACTATGTAGAAATTTTTGTGAACGCAACTCCTCTTAAACCGGGTGGCAGATTTTGCTTAAACTTACAGGGATGAACAATCTTAAGGTGTAGATGGTAGTAAAGGAAGGAATTTTCGCTGCGACCAAATTTTACAGAATTATGGCCCTTTGTTGATTTTTTCACTATATACTATGTAGAAATTTTGTGAATGCAACTCCTCTTAAACCAAATGGCAGATTTTGCTTAAACTTCCAGGGATTAACAACCTTAATGTGTAGATGTGAGTAAAGGAAGGAATTTTTTCAACTTGTGGCACAAATATTTGACCTAGAGTCGTAAGATAGACAGAACAGTGGCGTGTGGGGGCATCCGTGTCCTATGGACACATTTCTAGTTTTAGCTATTTTGACTAAGTATACATTTAAAAGGACGTTTAAAGAAAAAAATCAAAAATTTATTTCAGGAATTTTTTAATAAGCCGCTTTAAACCGGAAAATTGCGGCTAAACTGAACGTCAAATTTTACACAAAATTGACAATTTTCTTTCCATTACTCAAACAATTTTCGGTGTAAAACAATGAATTTTATATCTGCTTAAAGGAAAAAATAATTTCCGTCAAATGCTGTAGGATTAAAGATATTTTGTCCGCTAATGGCGTTGAAATACCCGTAACAGTTGCCAAGGATACGCAACGACGTTATGTTAAAAAACGGGCTTTGATGGTCAACTTTGACGTCATGTGAACAAAAATTGGCTGAAACTATTGAAATAAAATCAACGAAATCCAATCAGAAATATGGTCAATTTTTTGCATGCCAATTTTCAAGACGCTACTCGAAAGTTCGCAAAGTGTCGCGTTCTACCTTAAAAAAACTGCCTTATCATAAATAACTGTAATGTAGCTAACCATTTATTTATTTATTGATTTATTTATTTCTATTACAAAAAAAGAAAACATTATGCCATTGCGATAAAACAGTTATAGTATATGAAACTCGTTAGTTACGAGGATATAACACTGGCTGGGCGACATCTCGGGATGTTTCTGCAAAAAATTGTCTCGGCCTAACGGCCTCGCCGTTTATATTTAGTCTTCTATAAAGATATCATAGTCTAATAGCTTATAATTTATGATTATACTAATTACCTTTTTTTTTTTGAAATGCTCAAATCATGGTGCTTAATCATGGTCATCA